GAATCCTCGGGGAGTGTGCAGGTGGGACTATCCAGCAGCTGTGGCTGTTAGAGAATCCTCGGGGAGTGTGCAGGCTTCACCAGGCACCCTGAGCTCCTACACTGAGGAACCATTTTCTGAAGTACACACTTCCAACTATATTCCGTCCAGGTTCCGTTTGAATCTTGTGAATACTTCAACTAGAAGAATGTAGTTGGTTAAGCAGTAAAATAAACATAACATAATCCCTGATGAATAAATCTAAATCCAATGCAGTCATGTAAGAAGCATGAAAACCAAGCCAACTTAAGCCCTCCAGAAATTGCTCAGCCTATAATAATGGCGTCCAGTAAAAGTGAGTTAGATGATATTCCAGGTAGAACTCGAAAAAATGGTTGTAATTAATTGTGTTTAAAGAAGAGAATTTTTTTTTGACAGGGTCTCACTCTTGCAGCTCTGGTTGATCTGGAAGTCACTATGTAGGCCAGGCTGACCTCCAACTTACAGAGATCTGCCTGTCTGCCTCCCAAATGTTGGTATTAAAGATTAACATGCACTACAGCTGGCAAAGATGAGCTGAGAACACAAACAGCTGAATGAAATAAAGATGACACAAGATGTGAAAGAGGAATTCAGTACAAAGGGTTGCTGAAGAAAGACTGTCTGAAATGCTGCACATGAAAATAAATCAAAGCCCCGCGGGAAGTCATAACGGTAGCATGGGCCGAAGGTGGACTGGAATAGCGGAGCCTGAAGACAAAGTAGGGAACCTGACTAGGCAACAAGAACAGAAGTCATATAGTGGGAATGTCAAGACAATACACAGTCTTGTAGAAGTCAGACCTACGCGGTATGAACACACAAGGATAAGTTTACTTGGCATAGAAAGCATTTCCCAAAGAACTGTAGCCAAATTTCCCAGAGTTAGGAGAAATGGACCATTCCAGAGAGAGGCACTTTAGGACACCAAGCCCAAGAGACCACCAAGAGAGCCTATCTTCATACTAAAATTAAAACACTAAGTACGCAAAGCAAAGCAAGCATATTGAAAGTGGCCCAAGAAACACCAAGTCACATATAAGGGTATGCCCACTGAAAGAATAGCGAGATACTTGTCCTTGAGGCGCTGAAAGCCCAGAGGGCCTGGGAAGATGCATTTCAGGTTCTGAAAGGTAACCGCCAACCCTTACTACTGTACCCAGCCAAGCTCTTTGTCGTGGTCAGAGGAGGAATAAACACTTCCCATGGGACCAGTGCTGTCACTCTGGGTTTCCCGGTGCTGGGCCACCCCGCACTTCATATTTCTGAAGCTGCATATTAGTGCTTAGATTCAGTTTGCTGGCTGGCATGCTCATTTTGCACATATGTTCATAAGAGGTTTTATGTGAAAAGTTTATTTTTAAAAAAACCTAGTGTTTTATAGTTTTTGGTCTGGTTCTGTTTGGTTTTTTGAGACAGGGTTTCTCTGTGTAGCCCTGGCTGTCCTGGAACTAGCTCTAGACCAGGCTGGCCTCGAACTCACTGCGATCTGCCTGCCTCTGCCTCCCGTGTGCTGGGATTAAAGGCATGCACCACCACCACTTATAATATTATTTTATTGTGATGTCTTTGTCTGGTTTTGTTATCAGGTTAAAAACAGCCTTGAAAGGATGAACTTAGAAATTATCACGTCCCTGCCTTGTGTGTGTGTGTGTGTGTGTGTGTGTGTGTGTGTGTGGTGGCGGTCTGTTCTGTTTGGGAACTTGTGATAATTTCTGCTAATTTATCTTGTTGAAATTGCCTGAAGAGCTGCTGTTTCCCCTGTCAGCTCTGTCAGAGCCTCCCTATGGTGATTCCATTTTGTCCTGCTCCCCTTTAAGAGGGCGAGTCTGCTCTTCCAGGTGGGTAATAAAGACTTCTGTTCAGTATGAAGGCCTAGTGTGGGCCCTAACTATCAAAGGAGGGGCTGTTGCTGACACCCTCCTGCCTCCTCTTTACCACCACATGCCCTACTGGCACAGTCATGCCTAACCATACTCATCTCACCAATTCTACACCAAATCCAGGATCTAGGATTTTCGTGGGTAGAAAGCCAAAGATGGATGCACGCCCGATACTTAAAAGCCAGGATTAAGGCCATCTCATGGCCCCAGAGTCTCGGAACCCATGGGGCTTCTGCTGCTTTACCCACACCTGTCTGGGCATCCCTGCTTCTGTCTACTCCACAAGCCCACTCCGTGATTCACTTGCTGTTTTTCTACAAAGAAAATAGACACCCAGCTGTGGAAACAGACACCCCACAGTGGCACATACCAAACAAGAGTGCAGATCTGACTAAATTGGACTTGACTTGAACCTGAGGGACAGAGCCACTGTGGGGTCACCTACCCGCACTTCCACATGGTAATCCTCCGAGCACCTGC